AAGACTAATAGTTGCTGCATCTTTATAGAATACAGATCAGATTTATTAAAAAAAGGAGGGATTTAGGTTGCACATTTCCCATGGCGATTTCTGGTAAAAATAACACTAGAACTGTCACAATTGCCCTGGATATACAAACATTTAAAATAGAGAGGCAATGACTCATAATATCAAAAGTGATATTAAGCTTATATAAAGTTAATGCCCCCAAAGCGCTTGTTTGATACTTAGTTTTGGAAAGAGTTAACAGAAGCATGTAAGTCCTGAACCAATTATTCTGCTGTGAAATTATTTTACTTCATATTTTCTAATGAATTTATATGACATATTCAGATTAATATGAAACTACAGGCGACGAGAGGCAGCTTGATGTTGCAGTGGCTGATTTTGCTACTTGACTGTGAGAAAGTCCTGAGGGGAAATTTCTATCATGAATTTCCTGGTTAATATTTGCATTTTTTACAATTTCATTAGTTCTGGCTTTTTTCCCAAGCACTCAATAAACAAATTAGATTTATCTGAGATTATTTATGCCTCCTTTAGGTATCAGTGTGGCTGCAAATGGTTGTATATGTCTATGGTGGACTAGTGACCTATACCTGGGGTTTTATAGACCCTTTATTGACACATGAAAGAAGTATCTATGTTCATGTTCAGCATAACTATGCACAGCAAATGGAAAGATTGATCCAGCAGAAAAATCCAGCTTTAACAACACATATCTGAATAGAATTTTCTTTTTATAATGCTAAAAAAAGAGGCTATTTAATATATTTCGATGCAAATTATATGCAGTGAAATTTTTTATTTTTTTGAATAGAATTTTCTTTTTATAATGCTAAAAAAAGAGGCTATTTAATATATTTCGATGCAAATTATATGCAGTGAAATTTTTAATAAAAACACTTTTCAGTTCAAGCACAAGCAGCCCGATCTTCTATGCTCCTTTGCTCTTATTTTTTTAACCAAGACACATCCCTTAACATGTTATTTTGTCCATTCCATAAAACTTGGGAAAGTGAATAAGTGAAGAACCAAAAGAAGACGTCATTAACATAATTAAACCAGTTTATTTCATGTTTATATATAAATTATTCAACTAAGTGGGAAAAATGTACGACAGAAATTCAACACACCGCAACCTGCTGACCGACAAGTTTCAAAAGAAAATTTCAGGCCAACACTTCAGGAATAACCTCCTATACTTTTTATTGTACAAGAACCTATGTAATACATTAACATTGAATATTTTGGGATTGAAATTACATAGTTTTTTTTTTTTTTTTAGATTTAGCTGGATGAGTAACAGTATTCATTTTACTGTTGTATGAAATGGTGCATACCCAGCATCATGTCATATGTCTATGTCAAATCAAGATGACAGTACTGACATTTGGATGTCTCAATAAAAGGATTATGATGTACTGGAATGTAGTGATAGATGTGCTCAGGATGCAGAGGAAGCTGAGCAAACGCCAAACAATGGAGCTCAAGGAGAGAAACTAAATGAAAGTATCAGATACCCAGAGGCTAAAAAGCAAGTCATCTCACTGTGGGAGCCTTCCTGTGTTTCTTATTTACAGTGACTGATTTTTGTTTATCAATGAGTTCCCTGATGCCTGTCTTTCCTTGTTGTCTAGCAGCATTAATCTCTTTTATGTTTTTTTGTTTGAGTTTAGAGAAAAGCAGAGCTCAATGAAGGAGGGATGATACAGTTTAACAATCTCCATGCAGCAAGGAAGCACATCAGTGGGTATTTCTACATCCTAACTATTTGTTACATACTTATGTTATGGCTTAAACATGTGTTGGAAAATGTGTTTTGACCTAGATGTTGAGGTTTTATTTTAAGAACTAGCATAATCTTTTATGCCTGTAGATAACTGAAAAATAGGACTGTGATAGTTTATACCTCAAATTAGTATTAGACTTGTAAAAGAAAGAAAAATGAACATTTTGTCTTGGGGCCAGGTTCTGTTACGGGTCAAAATATCCAATTATGCAATTAAACATTTGCTAATCTGTTTAAAAGGTTCACATTGCATCATGCTTTGAGAAAGGCATCCAAATTAAAGGGGCTCCTTAAAAGAGAAAGTCAAACAGCAGCTAACATCCAAAGAAAAACAACAAAAAGCTCTTTAGAAAGCCAGAAGAACTGTTCATCATTGTGGCTTAAATAAGATGAATCCTGAAAAACCAAGAATATAAAAAAATAGTGATTACTAAAGACATTGGTAAATAACAGTGTTTGTTAAAAAAAAAAAAGATTTATGTTTCTTTTGTTCCTTATATATAAGCAATACCTAAGACAATTTAATCTTACATTTATAAAAAGGTATAGAATGTTAAAAAAACAGCTGGTAATATGTCTGGGTAACATACTTGTTTTGGTTTAAATGTGAAACTGATAAAAGCAAAGCAAGTATAGTTTAATCTGGTTAAACTCATACTTCAGAGGTTAGCTTTTGCAGCGCTATAATTGCTGAGAACTTTAAATGGCTGTGGTGTACTGCTGACCTCCAGTGGCCTTTACATAAACTACACAAAACAAACTAAAAGCTTAAAATACTTCCTTTATGACTCACTCACTATTTTGGTTTACAGTGTCCACCTGTGATTTGGAGCCTTCTCTGTGCTGACATATCACTCAACTATTTGTTAATCTCTGCACAGTTGTCAGAGCAAAGCTCAGCCTGCACACATGTCAGGAGGGAACAGGTGAAGCTGTTTCCATCCAGTGTCAAAACTGGCTTCGGTTGATTCAAATGTCACATTTGTAGGCATGCTATTTCAAAACATGCATGGACAATAGAAAAACTTTGTGATTGAATCCAACATGAACCTGCTTGGTCCTGTCAAATGTAACCAGGGCACTCTGGTCTAACTTAGCAGTCACATGATTAAGGGCGGGATACATCCAGTGGATAGGCCGTAAGCCCATCACGGCTCTGGATCAAACATCTACAACAATTTAGCCGTTATCTATCCTCTTATCAGTTTTGTTTTCCTCTGACCCGCCCTTCACATAGAAACTACAGCATACCACGGATGTCTATGAAGACAGTTTCACTGATATCACAGGGAAACATTCAAAGTTAATAATAAACATTATTGCAGACTTTTTTAAAGTGTCCATTGGTATTGTTCACTTCTAATATTCAGAAATTTAAAAAAAATCATTGCATACTATGGAGTTTTGCAAAACACAAAAAAAAGGACTATTTCTCAAAACTTTCTAACTGTTAAATCAGATTTGATCTGATCCCAGATGAACTTGGGGGGCGGCTTCTTTTAAATTCACAAGAAGTGAATTAAGACAGTTATGACCGAGGACAATTATGACTTACTGTACAGTCACAGGTGTACCGTGCAGAGTCTAGCCGGTGTTACTGCACCATGGCAACACAACACTGTAAAACTATAAGGATTGATCGTCTTAATCACAGTATGTGTTGTTTGTTTCATTACAAACAAAGTTAGCATTAGGTGAATATAAACCAGCCTATACGATATAACGCATTTTGTTATCTAGTGATACGTGGTCTAATGATCTGGGAAGGAGAAAGAAGAATGTAAATCATTTGCCTTTTTAATGACTGGGGTTCAGTTGTTATCAGCAGACAGTATAGCAAAAAAACCATCAGAGCTTTCTTGAACTGGAAGAATAATTATTATTTTCCTGTTTCACTTGTTATTTAGCACCAGTCTCTCTTTCAATTTCTAGTTACATTTAATTTAGTAGTATGTGTTTCTCATTAATTATCACAGGCAATTGATCACTTTTAATGCAGCTTTAAAAAGACTTCAAATTTTGTTTTCTTTTTAAGTATAGATCAGCATTTGCATGAATCTTTATTTCCAATTCTAATAAAATGGCAGTTTCTTTTATCGACTTTTGTCAATTTCCTTTTGTTTCTATACTTTTGTTTTATATTCTATGTTAATTTCAATTTATTCCCTTTATTATGCTTTAATCTCTTACTGTAACCCTTTCCCCCAGTGAATATCAGTCAAATCTTAAAAGGCTTCGGTACACAATAAACAGTACTCTTAAAGCTAAGACTAATTCCTGCACAAAGAAACACTAAATAAACCTGCTACAAATTCAGCAGTCATATACACTAACTGCAAACCTCCTTTAGTATTTCTAACTCCTGGATCCCATTTCATTTTAGTTCTCTCTCTGAATTCTGTTAATAACATATTGTTTGTTTTGGTTTGAGTTAGAGTGACTAGAAATTACCCTACTTAAAGATTTAACTTGGCTCAAAGGCTAAAGCTCCAACCTGGGAATTACTGTAGTTTACAATCAAGTGGAGCACTTAGTTACATAGCTGAAAACCTGTGGGATCTGCCATTTGTTAAGTTGCTAAATACTGGTAGCACTACAAGTTGATGATGTGTTTCTCTAGGGTTTATGTATTTAAATACTAAGGAAACATGTTTAGAAATAGTCCAGTGGTCTAAGTGTCGTATGTAGGAATGTATTCTCATGATATACAAACTGTATCCCTATAAATGAGACATTTAAGTTTGTTTTTTTCCAGCAACTTTCATACAAGTAGCAGCCTTGGATTTACATCTTAACGTCAAACTTCAACTTCACCAGGCGTTCAGTTTAATTTTTAGCATGAAGTTGAGAAATTTCAACATGGCTGTGTTAATTAAAGTCAGGCTGATAAGAGTTAAATAACAAAAAGTCTGTTAACCATGTTACCTTTAGTTCCTCACAATATCAACCACTTTAGTTGGATAAAAGATCATAAGGTTAGAGATACTCCAATCCAATCCTTTGGACTCCGAACAAAAGAATCAGATTAGGGTTTCCAATTAAGATTGTTTCTGATGACCAGATTAAAAGTTTATGTCCAAGATCCTCTCCTAATATCTGCTGTTTCTAATTTTATGTCAGTGAAACCAAACACTTTATTTTAGCCGGAGAGCAATGTTAATTTTATTTACCGGTACTTAAAAATCCTCTTTTTCTTTTTTTCCTTTTTTTTTTTTGTACAGGGATTTCAAAATTGTAAAGTAGGCCTTAAACACAACTTTTACTGGACTAATGATTTTGCTTTTCCTGAACAGTCCTGATGTACTTCACCCAACAGAGAGACAGTAATGGCTGCTGCAGCTTTTGTGTCATGAAGCAAAACACATCTGATCTGCTTACATTAGCCTAGCACTTCAACAACAAACTGAGAGATATGAGTCTATAATCACTCTCCAAAATAGGTTGTTTGTACTGCCTCTTCTCAGGAACTTCTTGTAGAAATAAACTTTTTTTTTTTTAGAGACAAACTGTGAAGTAAACATATTCTTCGTTTATATGTAAAAAATATTTTAAAAAGTACAACTACACCACAGCATGTTTATTGATGGCTAATTTAAATGGCTGAGGCAGATTTACTTGACTCTGATACATGTTGAAACCCCAGTGAAAGTTTGGCAGCTCTAAAACTGTCTTCAACAGGGGAGCCCTGTCAGGTCGAGCACACAGACTCAGCTGTTCTGTAGCCTACAGGCTGCTCACCTCCAAATACAGATTTTTTTTTAAACCCTCCAGCATAATATCTACTTATCCTCTGCAGGCCTTTCAGTTAATGTAGCTCCTTCCTTACTGTCTCTTTTCTTGCACTGATGTTGGACATCAGTAACAATACTGTTTACAAGCTTAATGAACACACGGATCTGTAGTGATGCATTTAAAGTCATAGCTAAACATTATGTGGTGCAGATAATGAAACAGTGACATTACACAAAAGCCAAAGAAGCAGCAAACAAACCTGGGGCTGTAGTTGAAAGATATGGTGTTACACTCTGTTTAAAGGCTAATGTATGTTGCTCAGACTCCCTAAAAGGACAGTCGTTTTCCTCTCCTCTGACGGTATACGGTATAAATTTGTCTTCCACACTTGACAGTTCCAGAACAACCTTACTGGCTGTTATCATTGGCTGCCAGTTGGTCTCACAGCTTTTTCCAACATAGCAACAATTTATTTAGTGCTGTGTGACCAGCAGCACTCGGTGACAGGCCGCAGCTTTTAAAACAAAAGCCTTCCTCTCCAGCACTAAGGCAGCTGAACACTCCCCCATCATATATTTATCATCAATCCAGGAGGGCATCTCCCTCTTCTTCCACAAGCCTGTTTAATGTTTGAAACAAAGCTGATCTCTAAAAGGAGAAAGGGAGCTCCTTAGGTTCTATCCCAGGATGACACATTTCCTTGTGAATTGGTATTCCTCATGGTCCTCGGTGCTGTTCAGAGAGCATATGAAGCGACCTGTTTTCACAGCAACGCTGCATTCAGCAGCTCTCCCACGTGTATACATGTAATGCCTACAGGCTTGCAATTGGCTCTGAGGGAGTCCTCATACTGAGTTGGTATGTATCTCTGGGTCTGCTGTTATTGATGCACTCGTATCCAACATGGTGTCCTTCTCTGTCAAGTTCTTTGGCTCTCCAGGCTGTCTTCTTCTCTGTCCACACAATCTGAACCTGCGACTGAAAAGAAGATAAACAAGGTACATAATGGAGGGCAATAACTCAAACGACTGCAAAAACAGCTTTTTTTTTCAAAGATACAGCTGGTGCAAAGTTTTTTTTTTTTCATCAAAAAATGGTGCCTCTTCAATCCGGAGGCTTAGGAGATGGCTATGTAACATCTTTGTGTAATCATCACCTTTTTTTATGATGTAATTGTTTATAAATCTAAAAATAATTTGTTTTTAGAGAAGTTTCTTAAGCATAGGGGGAGAAATCTGAGCACCCTTTAAACCAAACGGCAACGTTATCTGGGGCTCTGGCTCCTGGTTGGGTCTTCTATGGCAATATGGCCTCAGAGGATGGGGTCGCATTAAAACCGATTTTGTGATAATGATGAAAAGCAAATTATATAGGGAGGGGGGGTTATTTAAAATGGATTTAAGGACTGAGATACATGTTTCGGACCACATGCACATAAATTCAACACCGTTTGGGACGAATGTTGGGTTTTGGTCCCAGATAAGCTAGGTGGCAGGTGAAAGAGTGGGCTAAATCCAGATGTTACAACCCGATTTTTGGGATATGAAATGTCACCAGGCTGGCAGGTAAGGAGCTCCAGCTGGTAATCCAGCAAGTTACATTAGGACTAACATTGCAGCTGGGTCTTAGGGGCCCAGCTATGGGCGAGGACGTGAATTGTATTCCTAGCAGAGATACTGCGGGAAAGAGGAGTTGGGATACTGACAAGCCCTCAGCTAATGGGTATGAGCATCCTTCCAGATTTGAGAAAGGATTCGTTCTTTCCAACCTCAGGATGCAGGACTTACATTTCTGACTGGTGTCGAGTTTGTGCATAGAACTGCAGTTTTTTGAGGATCTGCTTTATGTACAGGTGGAATTTTATGGCTTCCCTTTGGGGACCTTAGAGCCCAAATTGACTATGATATTGTTACCTAGAGGGGATTAGTTAAAAAAAAAAAACAAAAAACTTTTAATTGTGAAGGCTAGTACTTTTTTTGTTGTTGTTATTGGATATTTGTGTTATAGGCATGGGCTGTCCAGAACAAATACCTTATTTGAAACAAGAGTGATAATTGGTATACTTGGTACCAGGCCACCTTGAGTCAAAGGCTGTTGAAAGATTTTAAATTCATCTCATGAGATCTGCTTGGTGACATTCTGACCACACAGGTAAAGAAAGGCAGAAGTTACTATATTATCTTAGACTTTTATGACTGTTCGTGGATATTTGAATCCTTATAGATCACCAAGTCGGAAGGAATACTCACAACTTAATACTTGGTCTGAGGAGGCAAAACTATCTTTAAGGAAAAGTATATATAGTGTAAGAAAAGAATTTGTCTTACTGTGAACAGATGCAGATGGAAAGGACGAGGATCATCAGGATCAGAAGAACAGTAATGGAGCATCCAATAATGATATTTCTGTTCTTTTTCCACGGTTCCGAAATGTTCACATATTCACACCTGGCACCCATGTAATCACTCTGGCACCTGAAAAAAATTTTAAAATTTAAATTATTATATATATATATATATATATATTTTTTTTTTTTTCATAAAAAAAGAAAATTAATTTTCTATGCACCTAAAAACTATTTTTGTCATCAAATACTTTATGACAAAACCTCCCAATTATCCTCTTTCTATAAGTCTATTCATTCACATTTTTCTCAAACTATTACTCACTTGCAGGATGGTGTTTCCTGGTCCTTAATGTAACGGCACTCTCCGTGGATACAATAATGTTTTAGCTCCTCTGGACATTTCGAGAAGTGGCCATTCCACTCTTCTATATCATTTTCTGCTGGCGAAATTAAATAGTAAACAAAAGTTTAAATTTGGAACAAATTTAAAACATTTATCTAATTTGTGACCTTATGCTCCATTATCAAGCAAACTTACAAAGCCAATAAAGGTGCCCAGCTTCAAGTTCCTTTTTCTTATAAGGCTAAAAGACTAATTTCATTCATAAAATAATGACAGGACAGCATCCTTTGCATCAGATAGCTTCTGCATGTGACGTGCATAAACATTTGAAATGTGTGGGCTACTTCAGTTTGTCCTACAGATCTCTACGTTATTTCTAAATCATTAGATCCCACTTTGATCAAAAGCACAAAAAAAAATGTTTTCCTGTAAAATCTATCTCTGTAACTTTACCACATACTGTCAGCTTGCAACTATGACGTACATTCTGACTCTCTGACCTAATTTATTAATAGACTGGCTGCAATATGATCCAGTGAAGGCCTAGAGTCATCAAGGACTCATTTTCCATGTGGCTCAATTAGCATGATCTTTGTTAATTGAAACATGAAAGTTGGAATCTCCATTCCCTTAATAAACAGGTGTTTATTTTAGCTTGCTAACTTCACACCCTCAAACAGCTGTTGAACTTCTGACCACCACTTTTCACGTAGCACTTCTTGAAAAGCTGCCGCTATCTTTACAATCCGGTTCAGTGAAATTACCACACACAAAAAATGAGCTTGTAAAAGCATAGTGCCCTCCAGGTGACATCAATGAATGTGCTCCGTTTGTTAGCTGAAACATGAGAAATGGATTGGAACCATGGACCTCAGAGCTGAAAGGAAACCTCTAGAGTATGCAGTCAGGCAATAGATTGTTAGAAAAGATGATGAGAACAGTGTTTTTTGGTGACCGGTAAGCTAGAAGAGCAAATAGCAACATCTTTTCAAGAGGTGGGTTAATATTAAAAAGTGGTTTTTACATTAGAAAGCAAATCTAACAACTTGTAAAAAAAATTATTTTGTTTAGCTTAGAGGTCAAAGCCAAATGTCTAAAAAGGGGAATCTTTCAATGTATTAATATTGTATTATTTTAATGAAAATGACTAATTATCTAACTAACTTTCTGTTGAACTATTAGATTTCAATGAGATGTTAAAAATGTTTTTGTCTTCTGTCCTGTCTTTAGTCAGTTTTTTAGTTTTGCCCACATGAGAGCAAAAAGGAGACATTTTCAGTTAATAGAGATGACACCTTGATTTATTACATTTTCTTAAAAAAAAAAAATAACAGAACAAACTGTCATAACAGCCAAATTGGATTCCTCACAATTAAATAAGAGGCAAGCAGATATTTCTCAAAATCTCTTAAAACACTTTAAGGAGTCTTTGTCAGTAGGGTGCTAAATGTTTATAGAGAAACTGAAAGAAAGTCCGTCTGCCTCTGATTGAAGTGTGTTTTGTGGTTGCCATGACCATGATGACTGAGATTGGATCAGGTAAAAGGACTGAGATCTCACCAGTTATTGGTTTTGTTTGTAAGGTTTTTATGTTTTGGTAGGTTTAATAATGTATATTTATAATAAATATACGAAATATATAATAAATATACGAAATATACGATCACAAACATTATTAAACCTACCAAAATGACACTTAGTGTAACACTTGCACATAAACAGACAGACAGACAGACAGACAGACAGACAGACAGACAGACAGACAGACAGACAGATAGATTTATTTTACTATTAAAAAATCATAAGCAAAACAAATATAATCGAAAATCTTAGTAGCATCTAAACTGAACTAGAGACCTGTTTAACTTTGTCTTGTGGGATCTCCAAAATAAGCAAATCTCTCTTTCTTTTTTTTTATTAAACACCTTATGATTACATGTTCTCCATTATAAATCAAAGTTTGTGTGTTATAGACAAATCGAAGGCAGCAAGTTTCTTTTTTTCTTCTTTTGGGATGCAACATTTCATCACCCATTTTCATGCAAATAATCCTGCCAAAGATGAATAGAAGGAGGTGGAACGTCAACAGGCCACAAAAGCCATAATCCAGTCAAAGATTACCGGGACTATTTACCTAGACTGCTTTGACCAGTTTAGTGTCTGCTTTGATGACCTCAAAGCTTTCAGCCATTGATGACATCAATAAGGGATTGTACCGTATTCACCTGTGCAATTGTCCATCTTGCCATGAAGATGGCAGGCGGATGATCCATCGGTTGTGTTCCATTCTGCCAGGCAATGTTTCCACAAGGCTAGAGCTTCAGATAGAAAACCAATTTTAAAAAAAATAGTCACACACATTTAAATATATTCATTGGGAAAGTGTGCAAACACATTGTCCAATTTTTGCCTACATTTGACACTGCAGAAGGAGTTCCTCTCCCATCCTTGCTTTACTAACTTTCAAGTGAATCGCAGAATGTTTCAAACTATAGCCAGGATTATTTCATATGTCATGATTAGTGTAGAGTTAGATAATATATTGTTGATTTATAGGATCTCCACTGAAAGATTAACCAGCTCTGAAGCTTCTTTATAGATATTAGTTAGTAGGAAAATGCTCTTAGACTTCACAACTAAACAAAAATATTGAAAAACAGCCTTCCAATAAAATATTCATCTACAATTTTTACTGTGTTATACAAATCTTATCAAGTTTTGAAACCTCCATGTAATAAAGCAGTAAAGAAAGTTGATCCCTCATTCTAACATAAGCAATAGGAAAGTGATTCTTACCTGTTAGTAGCGCAACATAGAGTCTGTACATCTTTGCCATCTCCTTACTTGACAGAGATTCTCATTAGTCTTCTGAGAATTCACACATATAAGCAAAAAGAATTCCAAGAGGTTAAAATCCTTTCCAGGGGTCAGTGGTGTTAGAAAGAGGTGTGGACAGTTTGTGGAAATTTCCAAAAGCTGTGTCCTATCAGGGCTCTTCATTGATGGTAACTATATTCATATAAGCCAGAAAGAGAGCAAAACAAAATATGAGGCTTTAAGAAGGGGACGGAAGCACTAAGATCAGAGCAGCTCTGAGGACTGTAGCTCCACCAAGCTGAGTCTAGAGTGGGAAGGCTCAGTGAAACCTGACTCTGTCTTTTTACTCTCCGCCCACACCTTTAAAGGAAGGACAAACCACTAGACGCATTCAGGTTGTTTCCTTTTTAAAGTCCTGTCTCTTTACCTTGCAAGAATTAAATGATAGGTGGAGTAGTTATTGTCAGTTAAGGGAAACCTGTTTACCAGACTAACATTTGATTCTATTTATAATGTGTGTTGCATTGTGCTTTAGGGCTGTGCATGGTAACTAAACTAACAGTGTAAAAAGGAGGGCAGAATGACATATTAACTGACTGTTACATTTTGTTGTTCAGGAGAAACTCTGCCAAAGAAGAAGTTAATAAAAGTTTCAATGTCAAAGGCTATCAGTTAAATTGTATGTTTTTCTTTATTTGTTTAAGGATCAACATGTTTACAACAGATGATTTTGTGATGAATCTTTTTGCGATTGATCATACTAATTATTTCAATAATCCCTTTTCATATACTATTAATGACAGAAAATATTTTTCTGCTACTTTCAGCTGTAAATGACAGCATTTCACCATAATTTGTTCACTTGAACACCAGATGGCATAGTTTGACAGAGCTTCATAGCTGAGCAATTGCTAGAAATATAAAGAACATTTTAAAAAGATGCTCCATTATAAACAATATTTTTCCTTGTCTTAATGAAAAAGTTTCACAACCAGGGTGTAGGAGGAAAAGCTGATAGCATCCTAACCTGATAACTGGTTTTGCAACTTAACTGCCATCAGAAAGTTGCAACAAATTGGGGCAAATCATTTACATCACTGTGGAGGAATGCTTCAGCAGCAATAAAAGGGTATCTGAGCATAAATTATCTGTTTAAGGTCAAGCCACAACTGATAACCTATGTTTTGCTTTTATTTAGGATATTTAGTAATGTAATTGTCGCCTTACTTTAGATTACTGCTGTGCAGCAAAACCCATTGATGCATTAGCCTAAGGTCAGAAGCTTTGACATTCAGGATTTTCTGATGTATAGGTACATTTTTATGCTTCATTGCCTGAGCCATGTCATTCAGATTTGGAAGCAAAAAGGCAGCTTCTTATAATTATGCAACCACCGCCATTTTTTTTCTTTTTTTAGACAGTGTCCTGTCTGGCAATGTGGCAATAAGAATAATTGTCTTGATGCCAAAAAAGGGCCCAACAGATTTTGCTTTCACAAGTGGAGCAGTACTGGTATCGCCATAGTGTTCCGCTTGATTTATGCATATAAATAGCTTTATTAAAATTATGCAGGGAGTGTTACAGATTGTATGGACACTGCAATGAAAATAAAACAGGAAAATGGAGAACAGATGAAAGAAAGAGGAAATAAAAGGGAGACAACAATAAAACGTCTTCAGTCTGCTTCATCACCTGCAAAGAGATGTGTAAAGAACAGCGCAACCAACGGATATAGTATAAGGATACACTAAAGTGGCACCTTGATACTATCACTGAAGTATAAGTTGAATTATTTAATCTGACATGTATACTGTGGTAGCTGAAGGTCAGAATATGGGCTTCTGTATGGGAGTGAATCTCTAAGTACCTGAAGCCAAGCACCTGTAGTTGTTTGTGAGAGTGCACCTGTGCATGTAAAGTTTATCCAAAGGGAAAATGTTCAATAGTGGTTGTGGAGACCCAAAGACCCATCCGCCCAGAGCACCGAGGCAAGCGCTAGGGGACCCCAAAACCCCAGATGCCCAAAGGCATCCCCGCCACCCACCATCACCACCACTGAGGGAAGAGGAGAGACCCCAGGAAATCCCTCATCCATCGCAATGCCAGAGCCTCCAGGAGCCAAGGGGACGAGTCCAGGGGCTCCTCCGGCAGCCAGCCACCCCAAAGTAGAACCGGCCATGGGCCCCCCCCCGGCTAGAGCCCTAACCGCACCACCATGTTTTACTTTATGTTTTTGTTTTGTTTTTTATGTTACAATTGTTTGCCTTTCAAAGAAAATGTAATAATCACATTTTTGTTTTGCTATTCTGCAGAGATTCTGATATGAGGATGAGTCTTCTGGTGAAAAAAGAAGATGAGTGTTTTGGCTATGGAGTTCTATCAAAATGCCCAGACTTTTTCTTATTGACGGGGCATTAGAAACAACACTGAGCATTCCGGTAAGCAGTTTCAGTTAAACATGGCCTTAACTGAGACAAGCGAGGCATTCATTGGTCAGTTGTTGGCTTCCTTTGTCTGGATGGGCTTTCAGAGCACTCTTGAAACCAAAATGGCCTCTTACCCTAGTTCACTGGAATCCCACAGCTTTAAGAATGTCTTTGCAGTCCTGAAAAGCTCTTTGAACCTAGATCATGTAGTTAAACAGGTTCTACGAAAGGGAATCCAGTAATCTCGGTAATCAGACCTGGGTGTGACCAGTGAAACCAAAAATTGGGTTAATTCTGTTAAATTGATGGTAAAGTTAGGGCACCATGCTTTACATGACCCATGTGGATTTGGATATCTCTTCCAACAATGAAAGAAATATTCCTTTTAAAACATCTTTTTTGTATTCTATTTTTGGTTGATATTTTTGTCCGATATAGAAATTTGTTTGATGAGCTGTTAAAGTGTGGCAAGAAAGCTAAAACTGAGGGCTCAGAACAGGAGGCTCCAGTATTGGAGGCAGAGAGACAGATTTCTTAGAAAGGTGTTTATTAAGAGACAGTGGTTCTGCAGTAACAGCAAGGACGTCTAAGGCAGAAACCTCTGGAGCAGGAAAACTCAGATTAGTTACCATGTTAATCTGGCGGAGGATGATTACGAACGTGTGAGTCAATAACCTGGTTTTATAGTTCAGTCCGTGCCTAGAGAATGAGGTTGATTTCAGCCAGCTAACTGACAGCATGCAGCGGGCACCACTCTTAGAGTCCCAGATGCTGTAGTACCAAAGGATGGAGAACAAGCAGGAGATCAGATCCGAGCAGAGGAAGGAAGGCAGGATAATCCAGAGGACGAAGCCAAAGCTGGTGTCGAGGACATGCTCAGGATTCAGAACCAGGAGATCAGAAGTCCGAAGAGGTTCCGAAGGCAAATCCAGGTCGGTGACAGGAAACAGCTCCAAATTCAGCAAACAGGAAGAATCCAGCAGGAGTCCAACGATAGGTAAGGCAAGCAGATCAGATGGGAAGAGGAAGGCTCACTTGTTTAGAGGCAGAAACAGGTCAGGATCAGGTAATCAAAAACATTAAGGTAATGCTAAAACACTCACACTGGCTCAAGAGATAATCTAGGCTGATGACAGGAAGCAGGCAGGTTAAGACAGATCAGACGGCAACAGGCAGGCTCAGTGGTTGAGGCAGAACAGGTAATCAGAAATATTAAGGTAACGCTGAGATAATCTCACCACTGGCTTGAGAAACAATCTCACCACTGGCTTGTGAATAATAAGCGTTGATGACTGGTAGCAGGGAGGTTAAATAGAAGCTAGAGCAGATGGATCAGATGAGCAGTAATGAGAATCTAGTTAGACAGGTGAATGAAATGATTAATTTAGCCAATCATCAGCGCCAAGATCATAAAAAAAAAAAACAGAAAAACCTTAGAGGAAAAGCAAAATACTGGGAGAAAATACTTTATATTCACGTATAAGTGAATATTACATCTGTCTGTGATGAAATTGCAAAAATTACAATTTTACACACTTGTCTATATCTACAATAAAAAGAACAACTTAAGCAGAGGTGGACTGGATGGGGATCCACATTTGGCTTGCCAACCAGAACAGAGTATGGTAAAGGAGTAAAAACCAATAAAGAATCCTGGATAGGTGTCAAAATGTCCTTAAAAGAAGTGAGCAAAAATCCAGTTGTCTCAAATTTGAGCCTGTTTGGTGGATGCCAAGACCTGGAAGACTAAGGATTTGAACAGGCATACTCAAGTAAAGACTTTTTTCCTCATTAGATTATGTGAAATTTGAACTTAATTTGTTACTTATGTTTGTATTCAGTTTTTCTTATGTACGGTAACATTAGGGCTGCATGGTGGGGCAGCTGTTAACCATGTTGCCTTGCAGCTAGCGAGTGTGTGTGTGCATGCATTGTTGGTTGTTACTCTCTTTTAAGAGGAACAAGAGAGCTAATCAGATTTGATATAAAAGACAGGTAGCACAAAATAACCAAAGAAAAGGATAGGAACCTTTCAGATGTCATAAAAGGCTTGAGAATGGGTCATTATTTAGTTACCAGCAGGACAATGACCCCATACATACAGCCAGAGCACAAATTAAGAGTTTATAACAAATAATATTCATTTGTTAGAATTGGTAAGTCAAATTCTTATTAAGAAAATAAGTTTAAGCTATTTTGTAATGAGTCTTGGGCAAACATTCAGCTTTTTAATGTGAAACGTTGGTAGAGACATTTCAAAAAGACCTACAGGTGTAACTAAAGCAAAATGTCTGGTTCTACAAGTATAGATTATATATTAATAGAAAAACAATAAAAAGTTTTTAGATGGTTCAAGAGTACATGCCAATAACATCTCCAATAATTCACAGAGCAAGAAGCTATATTCACAGTAAATCATAAAAAATAACTTTGTTTATTTAGTTTGCTTGTTTCAACTCTAATAACACTTAATTTCAAAAATGCTAAATGGTGTCCCTTTGTAGATTATTTAATTGAAACAATTAACATCTGGCTCCTAAAATATAACAGTTGAAGAAAAACTATCATTTTATTTTAAAAAAATCATCTGATTTCTGTAAAACCTGCAATACATGCTCTGATTTGATTGATTTTCTTATACCTTAGACCGATTAGAGCTCAACCAGAGAGAGCACTCAGAAGCTTTAGGTCAGTTTTGTTACTTTTAGGCCCTCAGATCATTAAGTGTTGATTCACCTGAAGCTTTTGTTAATCTAGTAAGATATAAAAAACTGATTACAAAAAAATTTGTTGCTGAAAAGCAGTTCTGTTAAACACCCCAGGCTTTGATGTTTTTGATACAAGGAAGAAGCATATCAGTTTGTTTGCCCTGAAACAAAACGGTAAACTCAACAGAAACTAACAAGCTCAGGCTTATCACTAACTGACACTGTTACTGGAGCTGTTCCACGGTAACATCACCCTTTTCTATAGATTAAAAATTAATCCATGCAGTATGAAATAAAATAAACCCATTCTGGGAGGTGCATTTCTTGATATAGGATGAACTTATCACAGCAGAGGCCTACAATCAAAAAACATTCTTCATTTAGATTTTTATGTAAGGATTATTAACAATTCTTGTTAAAAAAAATTAAAAAATCTTTTCAGGAGCCAGAATAATAATCCGGGATTAGTCATCACTCATACAACTGTGATTTTCCACAGCGTCAGAGTTGAACCACAGCAAAATAAAGAAACATGCATATTGTCTGGATTTACCCCGAACCTTTAGGTGAATCTTTGCTCACTTTTTTCAGCATTTTGTGACTTTTGGAACTGTCTATGTCTTGTTTCAGTTAAGCCAGTTTTAACTCCTACATAATCGTGGTCTTTCGGTCATCAGCGACAGAAATGAGGTAAATAAGTGTAACTTAGGAAAAATATACACATTTTTAATGTGTACTGAATAGCAATGTGTTATATTATTTCCATTTGCAATGTTTCCAGTCAATGTATCAAAGTCCCTTTGCTGGTAGTCGGTAGGAAATAAGTAAAACAAATTGTGAAATAGTGTAGATCGTATTAAGGTTTTAAACTACTAATGTTAGAATATCAAACAGAATTTATGACCAGAGGCACAAATGGATTGCTTTTGTGTAAGAAAAAAGAGAGGTTCCCTGTTTGCGGTAAACTTTTTGAGCATCTCATTTAGTGTTACATACAGTATTTGATCTGAGTTTGAAGGGATTTTAGGTTTGTTTCACTTTTGAACCACTGTGTTAAAAAGTCAGAGATAGTTGCTGTAGGAATCTAGGCTTCAATATGGTCTCATTTATTCATCCTCTGTCATAATTTCATGTGACTGTTGAAGTTTGCACTGCTGGAATACTTTTTAAAAACTGTTTCAGCTACAATTTGGAATGGAGTTTGGAATCATATAGAATTATATTCTAAATTATTTACTGTAAAAGATGAATCGGTAAAAGTTTAAAGGTAAAGAAATCCCCAAAACAAACAAAACAAATTATATATGTGCTTTTGTTTATACATAGTGCAAATTTCTGTGAAATACATGGATGGATGGATGGATGGATGGATGGATGGATGGATGGATGGATGGATGGATGGATGGATGGATGGATGGATGGATGGATGGATGGATGGNGGATGGATGGATGGATGGATGGATGGATGGATGGATGGATGGATGGATGGATGGATGGATGGATGGATGGATGGATGGATGGACTCATAGATTAAAGTGATACAGTGAAGGAAAACCAAGACAGCTTAAGCTGCTTTTACTGCTTTGCATATATTTTAGACTCTTCTTCATTGCAACATAATATCAAACATTCAGCAAAGCTAAAAGGTCACCTGTTCATTTCTATTTCAGGCACAGAAATTCATGAAAAATGTTTTAGACCAATTAAAGGACAGATCAGTGGTAATGGTAGCACTATAGGGAAAACACTACAGACTTTTCCTTTAAGAGTGCCTGAAAAGGAAAGGGAAGTGATAAAAAGTTGTTGTCTCATGACCGGCTAGACATTATAGGTGCTGAACTTGACAGTTTTTGTAATAAACTTTATATTACTAAACCAAAGGGTCAGTTTGATACACGTACTAAAACAGTTTACAATCAAATATACAGGAATAGGTTTTGTTTAAATAAAATCACCTTCTTATAAAAGACAGGATTTTTCATTTTAAGTATATGAACTTTATTACCGTATTTATGCAAACACTGTTGTGTGATTTTCTCATAGCATGGCCTGATTTTACAAGCAAGTCAAGGAAAGCGACCAGCTTTCGGTTTATCTTTCATTGTGTCTTTGCAGTTTGGAACAGGAAGACTGGGTTTCCTCTCTCTGGCTGTGTTCCTAACTTAGACTGAGCATCAGGAAGTTCCAGCGCCATTAGATTCCAAAGTGTCATTTAAAGAACAGCTTTAATAGTCCTTTTTGTATAATTTGCAGAAAGCCACAACATCACTCTGCTTTTGTATATCACAGAGATCGATCTTAAAGAGAGAAAAAAGTCTGCCATTGAGTAAAACATTGCATTGTGCCAAAAAACATACAAGTAAATCAAAAAATAGTAAAAGACGTATATATAACAAAAGAACTTTTATTATGATCCATTTTCATATTTTTCATATTCATAAAAAAGTTCACAGTTTAGAAAAAAAAACATCTGAATAACAGCCAAAATGTTAAAATGTCCTTTTCTTTACAGGAGATGTCGCAGTTGGGTCCATCATGTCTTCGTACTCTGCAAAACATGCAAAATCTCTTATTCTTTTTTTTTTTTAACTCAGCTGATATAATAGATATTCACTGACAAGCAGAGAACTGTGCAGAGTCTGACCTTCACACCACAGCGCAGGAGCGCGGCTCTCTGAAGGGGTTGCTCCCTGTAGGGACTCCGACCAGCAGGGCATCTTTTCCTGCATTCTGCAGACAGTATTGCTGCAGCTCTGCAGCTGCCTGGGACACCTTGAAAAAACAAACAATTAACATGAAAAGATTGAATCACCTTTTTGGCAAAAACGTTATGTACTGTATCTTACTAACTGCAATTTTACCTATCAATTTTTTTACGCAAAAAAGAAAAAAAAGTTTTTGCAACAAACCTGAACTGGTAAACTCAGATTCTTTTTATAATAAACTTCAGTTGTGTTAAATATTGCAATGCTAACATATTTTTGCCTGAATAAAAGAAAAGCATGTTTAAAGCTTTTTGCAAATAACCATCATAACAAATCTGTTATAAAAAATTTACAATTCTATTAAAGTATTTAATCATTTAACTTGAAAAGGACTAATTTTACGGATGATCTTTTAGCTAAATTATGACACTGGAACAGTAAAAGTAGCCTAATATTTTGTAGAAAGCCATAATATTGTCATACAACAGTGTGTTGTCAATGCTGACAAGTGGGAAAGCCAAAACAAACAAGATGAGCGGGCTTTAACAGTAACACCTAGGTTCCTACCTTAATTCTTTCCACGCTGGCCTCAAGTTTTAGTTGTTCCACCAGCCGTCGCATGTTGGATAAATTGGAATTAGAGGTCATGTTGTTAAAAGAGGGAAAATAATATATGAAAACAAAAAGTAAAAATCTCTTCTTGCTCTTTAGACACAGACTGCTTGAATCTGCTGATGGGAGGCAAATGCTGGACAAGAAAAGAATGGCTGGCTTTCTTTCAAAATGACCTCTGCTCTCTGCTGAGGAAGCAGGGAAACTGTAACACACTGACCTCTATGTGCATTTTACCAACATTACATGGAAGACTTTTTAAGGCTGAAAAGATTAGTAAAAGCATTTATTTTACCTGGATTTAGTTTAACAATAAATAAATAAATAAATAAATGCGATAGTCCTCCATGAAATAGACATAAACTGAAAAAATGAATAAAAAGATGTAAATTAACCATAAAACAAATAACAAACATGAAGTATTAAATGATTCAAGCCTACAATAGTGGGGATTTGTGTATGTGCATTAGTCAATGATATTAGAGATAGCATTAAATTTAAAGAAAACATGCAGTACACCCCCCCTTCCGCCTAACTTATTTGTTATATCATTTGTTTCTACTAATCCTTACGTTGTCTATACTCAATTATTCGTGGAGGGTTGCTGAGGTGCTGGTGTCCATCTCCAGCAGTCATTGGGCCAGAGGCACGGTACATTCTTTGACAGGTCACTATTAAAACCCTATATTCTTGACTAATTGAAGATGAAATCTAACAAACAAAACATAATGAAATATTAAAGATAGAAATTTGATCTGCCAATACGGTTCTTTGCATTTCAATGTTTGGATGCAATGCTTGTTGTTTTAAGATAAAAAACAAAAAATGAGATTGACATTTTTCTAAATTCATCCAATCTTCCGCTTATTCTGTCAGGGTCATGGTGAGGCAGGTGCTTATCTCCGGGACCTCAATGGGCGAGAGGCTAGGTACAGCTTGGACAGGTCACCAGTTCATTGCAGGGCAACACAGAGTCACACAAAGACATACAACCATGTTAATATCTCCTCAAATACAAAAGACGCAACACAAATACAAAGTTTTTTTTGTGTTGCGGCTTTTGTATTGTGTTGTGGCTTTTGTATTTGCTTTGCAGCTTTTGCATTTGTGTTTCGGCTTTTATATTTTTGCTGTGGCTTTTGTATTTTTGTTGCAGCTTTAGTAATTGTGTTGCAGGTTATGTATTTATTTTGCAGCTTTTGTATTTGCATTGCAGCTTTTGCATTTATGCTGCAGCTTTTGTATTTGCATTGCAGCTTTTGCTTTTTTGTATTAGTGTTGGCCCCTCTGGGCCACCGTAATAACCTGTATTAAGCAATATTTAATCCATAATAAAATGTGGTTTAATTACCAAACTGCAAGTCTGACATCCAAAAATGCCACAAACAGCTGTAAAAAGCAGTGGAGGCTATGCCACTTTGTATCATAGCAACAACGATGCCGTTCCAAAGTGACCGTAAACGCGTCACAGCTTTCTCACCATCTGATTGGTCGAAAGGTGATTTATGGGGATTGGCTGTAAGGAGCTTTTGCGGAAAAGAAGTTAAACATAAAACAAATAGACAGTTAAACAGAACAACTATGAGCTAAAGCGGGTCTACGCCGTAAAGGTATCGGACTCGGTGTGTTTAGGTGTATGAGCGTTTGGCAGACATGGTGGAGGTATTTTCTGGTCGGACTCTCCTGAATAAAGACGGCGAGTTCGTGGATCCGGAGGAAGCTCTGCGGAACAAGGTGGTGGGGATCTACTTCTCAGGTGCATGGTGCCCACCGTGTCGGGACTTCACGCCCATTCTGTGTGATTTTTACACGGAGCTGGTGGAAGAGAGCGAGCCTCCTGCTCAGTTTGAAATCGTTTTTATCTCTTCAGACAAGTCTCCTGATGACATGGTCGAATATTATCATGACATGCACGGAAACTGGCTGGCTTTACCCTGGAATGATGATTACAAGCAGTAAGTCGCTGCTGACTGTGAAGAAGTGCTGAAACTAGTGAATTTTTATTTAACTAGATAAAATATTACAGTCTATACCGCTCTTTTGAGCTGTAGCTTATGTAAACTACTTAGAGGGTCACCCTGCCGAGGATTAGGTTTAAATGCAGGGCAGACTGATTGTGTCCTGACCTTTATAATGGGTGTTTATAACTATAATCATTTTATTAGAAACAAATGTATGAACAGGCTTTATATCTATATGTATTTCCCTAATTATAAGTGTGTAAAAATGATACATTTATTTAGTGCTTTCTATATAGACAACTGTACCACATTGTGCTTTATAGCAGATAAAGCAAAGAGTTTATAAGCCCAAGTAAACCTCTGTAATAATAAGTGATTAAAAGAAAAAGCTGTTGTAGTTGAAAAGGGAACTGGGGAAAAACCTATAGATATAAATATGCATAAATTCTAGAAACTTAAAATGAAAAATACATAGATAAGGTTATTTATGAGAACCTCCAAAATAATTGCAAATCCAATAAAGTTGTCTAAAGATTTATAATTGTGTAAAAACAACAGAAAACAAATGCAAAAATGTAGATATTAGTAGGGCCGAAACAGTTAATCGGATTAATCATGAGTAATTGATTATTGAAATAATCGTCAAGTAATTTAGTAATCGATTATTCTTTAATCAGAATATAGAGACGGTAAAATACGGCTTTAGCTGACAGAGCAATCCAATTAGAGCAGTATTTATATCAAAATTGTAAAATATATATACATATAAATATATAAAAACATTTTTTTGAAGGTTGAAAATAAATTGTCTGTCAATATGTTCTATCCCAAACTCCTCAAGTGAAAAAGTTTGAGTCTATCTGGTTTATTTTCATAAAAATGTATTCTTTAAGGGTCCTTTGGCTATCCAATTATTAAATGATTTATCGAAAAAATAGTTGACAGATTAATTGATTTGCAAAATAATCGTTAGTTTTAGCCCTAGTTATTAGTATTAACTGTAAGACAGACTGAAAAGATGAAGAACATGCTAGTTGTAAAACAAGAGTTTGGGTTAAATAAACTTGCAACAGATTCTATTCCTCTTATTGTTCTTAATTTAACTCTTGTTAAATATGAATGAGAAAATATAAGCCAGAATCAGTTTTTTTAAACAGATAATAAGAAAAAAAGGAGAACAAAACCAATTAAAACCTTGCTTTGAGCTTTGATGATAGTATACATGTTATTACTGAGTTAGTAACTTGTTTTTGTTTGTTTGTTCTTGTTTCTTCTAGTGAGTTAAAGCAGCGCTACAAGATCACAGCCGTCCCCAAACTGGTGATCGTGAAGGAGAACGGAGATGTGATCACCGATAAAGGAAGGAAGCAAATCCGAGACCGAGGCCTGGACTGCTTCAGGTCCTGGTTGGATGCTGCTGAGATCTTTCAGAACTTCAAGGGTTAAGGAGAAGCATAAACCAAAAGTCAATTACGAAAATATTCAGCAGAATAAATTAAAAAAGTGACAATGGAAAAAAAACAAAAAGAAACAAAAAAACATTTACCCAAAAAATCTCTCACTTGTTACTGATGGTATTGTTCAACCTTATAACACTGTGATTGAGCTTCTTTGATAACAGCTTTGCAAACATGCAGTGAAATACTGCTCTAGTACAGACCTTCCTATGCATTTAAGATTCATCTCAGGCTCAGCTGTAAGGGAAACTGTATGATTCACAGCTGCTGTAGATCTCAGGTTACATTAAATCATCCTTCTGCAACAGTTAGGATTTCTACTACATCTTCCTCCTAATAAGGAGACTTTTAATACATTACTTTGGCTATATATTTTTAAGCAGCTCATAATTTTTTTCATTTTATGTTTTTTATATGTAATTGGTAATAAAATGTACATCTTATGATCTCTAATGCTGTTTTCAGTTCCCTACCACTCAGCTTGTTTAAAAAAGAAAAACAAACTTGATTCCCTTTTGCCTCATTAAATGTCAGAAATCCCAGAGGGTCTGTTTCCAGCATGCTTGCACCTTTGCCACCAAGAAACCTAATTGCATGTTTCCTCTGTGTGTGCTGATTCAGTAGCTATCAATTTGTGAAAATACATCCAATAGCATGACGTCACGATTCTCAGAGCGCAGGCTGATCCCTGTAGGTTCATTTTCTTTGAAACTCCTTCAAAGTGTTCACGGTATCTAATTATCTGCACTGTCAAGAAGTTAACTGCTCCTTTCCTGAATCACGTCATTGTTTTTTTTTTCTTTATGTCTTAATAACAGTAATATCTTGAGAGGGCGGCAAACTTTTCATTTTTTACAAGTAAAAATGATGCAACCTGATCTGAAATGAAACGACAGAGACAATTTGGTTTGATGGAAGGAAGGCCATCAAAGCTGCAGTCCTCTGCACCACATCAAAGTGGATGGTGGTGTCATGACATCTAGAAATGTATTGATTGATCTTGTTTGCATCATTTATTTTTTTCCCCATTAGAGGTTAGGATTTTTCAAGCCGCCACAAGATGTCATTGTTGCCTCTATAAAAATGATAACTTAACCTCTGCTGCACCCACTGAGATATATACAATTCATAGAATATACCACAAGATTACAGTGTAATAGAAGCATCTGCAGGGTGTATTCTTTGCATGCATTGTTCCTATGTATGACCATTATTTAACATTTATCTGTCGTCAGAGTATCTACCTATTTCAAGAAAATTATAGAGTCTAGGTGGTTTCAAAAGGAAGCCTAAATAAGCACTTTACCGTGGATTTCTATTGTGGTCTGTTACCTACTGTGGGAAAGCCACAAGATCCAGAACTTAGGTTTTCAAGGATTTTATTAAATATAGATTGATCATTAATTGTGTTTGTATAACTAATCAACTCACTGAGTGCATAATCATGCAGTTTTGGTCAGATGTTTAAATTGTACCTTTATTAGCAGGAATTTCATACTAACTGAGGCCTTTTAATTATTTTATTTCTTTATTAATTCAGTTTAAGTTTATTTATATCTCATTAATTCACAACATATGTTATCTCAAGGCAATTTACAGACAATTAAACCAGATCATATGGAATAGGATAGGTAAAAGTGACTAATTTACACAAGAGTAATCTCTCACACCAAGCATGCATGTAGCGACAGTGGAAAGAAAAACTTCCTTTTAACAGGAAGAAACCTCCAGCAGAACCAGGCTCAGTGTGAGCGGCCATCTGCTGAGGCCGACGGGTTCAAGGAGACAGAAGCAGAATATTGTTATTAGAATATTGTTAAACCACCCACGGTTTGAATATACCTACAAACATGCGCAGTTCCACTACATGTCCTTTAGTAGCCACACATTTTGTATCTATCAACAAGATCTTTAAAAAAATAAATCTACTAATATTAGTCAGCCCTTTATAGTAGAGCTTAATTGGTTGGTTTTGCTGCAAGAAATCTAACTTTTCAGCAAAGTTTACACATTTTCAAAAATTCTGAGAAATTATAAATTTAGGAAGCTTAACAGTGTGTTTTATTTATTACAAAACAAGTTTGTGAGTGAGTGGGAGGTTATCAGTCCAGTAGACGATTTGAGTCTGTATTTATTCCATCTAGTGATCTTTTTGAAATGAGGATGTGGAATCCATCATACATACTTTTTTTCCCCTATAAGTAACACAGAGGTAACACTTGCAAAACAAACCCTAAAAATTATTGTTACCACAACAATCCATGAGAGTAAAGTGTTCTTAGTAGAAATAAAATCTTAAATTGTCTTCTCTTAACTTATTGTCATTGAAGTCAAATAGTTTACTCTTTGTTTAGCCTTGAATACAGAACTGTGGGCAGCTGTGAACCCTAATCAAGACAAAAGATTGATTCTTGGAGCAGTTTACTCTTTCTAGGATTTCAGCAAGATAGAAATCCCCAAACTAATTAGAAAAAATGGCCTCCACAAAGACCTAACCTTAAACCTTTTATAAGGCTGGTGCCCTATATGGTTAGAACTGGCTTTAGGCAAAAAAGCAATTATTAGCAATTATTTTTTGTAGTTCTACAATATCCGATATATAGAGAGTCAAACATCCAGCCAGAAGAGAGGCTTAGAGATTATTCAAAACACAACAGTTTCCTACAAGAGCATACGAGCAAGCATACAATTTTATTTCTATCAAGAAAATAGAAAATAAACAAAAATAAACATATCCAGAACATTTTTTCTTTTTTAAAGCAGTTCAATTTGAAGTGACACAATCATTCCAGACCAGAAATCCTTATATGCCTAACATTAAAAAGATATTCACTGTTATGACAGCAGTCTGAAGTTAGAAATGTGCCAGATGCAAGGATAAAAACAGTAATGTTGTCCAGGTTTTGCACATTATCGCTTTAAAATTTAGGCAGAAATGTGAGGTATTTTCTGATATTCATAAGTCACAAAGGTAGGGGGACAAATGTGCTTTGCATCAACATAAAAAACTCCACAAAATGAAACTTTTCTCTTCAAAAGTCAAATTTTAATATATCATTGTATAAATTATAATATACTATGGGCTCATGGGATAACAAAAAAGCCTGGCCTCTTTTTGGAAAAAATTAATGAATAAATAAATCACGCAGCAAATTTCTACTCTTTTGAGGCACAGGTGATACCAGCAGATATGAGAAAGTGGCACAGTTCTAATACAATGCCTGATTGAGAGCCCCCTCCTCACCATCTACTCAGTAACTTAGGATGTGGACTTCACATTTAGACTTGATGTTGGCTTTTAGAAGTGAATGGCAGCAGTGTTTCCTTCTGCTGGAAGCAGATCTTGGTTAAGGCACCAACAAGGCTGGCTTTATGCGGGAACAGGGAGGGAAGGAGGGGGCGGAGAGCTGCGTGGACTGAGGGACCAGCAATGGATATGAAGATCACTTGATTAAGGAAAGGGAACTACCGGTGGATAGTTTCAAAATAAGAGTGGGAATTATTAAATATTTCACCAAAAAAATATATATTAAAACTGGTAAAAAGAGTGAAAAAAATATGCCTTGCGAAGGCAGTTATACCTTTTCGCCAAATTACAACCAAGAATTCCATTGTTATTTGCAATCTTTTATTGGGACAATATTTTATTTTAAAAGTACAAATGTCTAATTTTCACAAATATTAAGCTGAAATGGTGATATTGGTATCGGTATCGACAGCCAAAGGTTTATTTAACTTTTGTTACCCATTCCAGGTAAGCAATAAAACGTTCTACTGGATTCACTTTGTATTAGTCTTTTTCTTGCTTCACAGGGGTAGGCAGCAGCTTGACAAAGCCATGATGGCAATTATTTTACATCCAAGTAGTACCGGTATGCAGTTCTTCATGTATACACACACACATCGATTTCAAACGGATGGTATTGATATTGGCCGATACTGTACAGCCATGTATCGGGTATCTAATTAGGCGGATCAGATATTAGGGATTTAATATTGGATATAAGTCATTCATCCACTGTACTTTGCATGGTACTGTTTTATTAGTGCTGTTACCACTCTAAAAATATGGCTTTCATGTGGGAGTTGCACCAAAAAGAAAAGCTGAAATAAAGCATTAAGAGGTTCTGTTTGTGGAAGATTATGATCTGGTCATTTTTGGTTAGACCAGAACTGAACTTTTTATGCGAACACGCAAGCAGAAGTAGGACAATAAAAAACATGCTGAACAACATCAACCCCAATATGACACATGGTCAGATTTTTCTCTGTTAAAAAAATACGGACTGCTATGTACCACTTCCCATATGTCAGGAAATTTGTTTTGATTTATCACAGAAAGTACTAAATGCGGTCAAGCAAGAGCTTCTATTCCTCTAAAAACATTTGTGCTCCCTCTGACTACAGCTGTGTACTGTGGAAATTCTGGCCTGCACGCACAGATAAAAGTGTATTGTCAATTTCCTGAGCAACATTTCACAGACAACAAAAATCCTTATAAAAATAGACTAAAAACAAAACACATTGACCCAAT